GCAGTCAATGTGTGGGTACAATTTCACTGGAGGCTGAGGGGAAGCAATTTCTTTGACTGTATCTAAGGTTCTGGGTTGAGGAAGGTTTTGTCTAAAACAGGAGCATTTTCCGGGAATTTATTAAAGGAGTATTTAGTATTGTAGAGGAATTTATTAAGAGGGGAGCAGGGAGATTCCGCCTTGAAAACATTTGACTCTACATAATTAAATAGTTCCCTTTAAGTGTAAGCTTCAAGAAGAAGATGATTTTCCCCCTCCCCTTAAACTGGTTTACATTTTCATCCAGGAAAAGTGAAGAGAAGTGAGCCACACGACAACCAAGATGACACAGGCCAGGAACAACAGCCAATATTTCTACAGTGCACTAGCTTTTATGTAGATTGCTTGACTTCCACATACTATAAAAAAAATCTTCGCTGTTGTATAGCATACTGCATACTTTTTTCAGGAAACTAACTTCAACCCTTGCGTTTTTTACTCTAACATTCTTTGTCACTCAGAGGCGTATGTTTAGCAGTTGCATCAGCAAAAAAGAGTCCGCCAGAACCCCTTTCACAGAAAACCGGGAACTTTTCCTTAAATTCTTAAACGTGACAGTCTAGTGCTAGTAGTAGAATGAATACCCACACAAACATTTGCAACACTGAAAAAAAATAATTAAAAGTTTGTTCAACAATTCTGCTCAGGTCAAGCGCAGTCAGAGTCATATTTGCAAAGCAAAAACAGCCATAATAAAAGTGGTTAGTGTTAGTATACATATATCGCAACCCCAGTGCTTTTTGTCGTACCTCCATTTTCTAAAACAGTGAAACTGTGACTTCTTCTTAAGCTCACTCTTTGTTATGAACTGTTTTCACCGTTATTAAAAATGGAGATAGAACAAGAAAGCACTGAGGTCGCGACGTGTTGATGAGACAATGCTGACAGTAAGGCAGTCCAAGTATGCTGATGACGGACAATAAATTTGTCATGATAAAACATTAGAAGGAAAAATACAGCGGAGGAAACATTTCACTACCTCAGAATGACAAAGTTTTATCTGCTCAGTACCTAGTCTGGAAAAATCTGACGTCAAAGATTTAGAATTTCACACCATGTCAAGCTTTTTCGAATGCAATTCTTTGAATATTTTGATAATGAATAATCCTACGATTTTGATAGAGCCGATGGAACATTTGGTTTCTGACCTCATGGTCCGAGTAACTCAAAATGGCCGAAAAATGTCAAGACAGAACCGTGTCATTCTGAGATAGTGATTTAGCATAGACACGGTACCAGTGACCCTGAAGAAGATAGGTGCGAAGAACTTGTAGTCTTGTGGTCAAAGTCAAAGGCTCCCGGCCAGATATCACGAGCACAACGTGAAACAGCAGATCACAGGCAGGTGCTGGAGACAGCTCTCGTATTGATCAGAATCTCATTGACAGTTGCAAAACGGAAAAAAAAAAAGCCAACCAAAAAACCCCCCTCAAACAAACAAATGATAATTACATAACGGCCGTAATGAACATATCAGCTACAGAAGCAGCCAACAAGACACATCATTGTCATTCATTCTCACGACTCACTTCAAAATTTGATTCTCTTTGCGGTTGAAATTCAAACACACAGGCCGATAAAGATTAATATAATATATATATATATATATGATATTTTAAAAACAGCAACAGCAACAACATCATATGTAAGTAAGGAAACAATTGCTGCCCCATGACAATTCAAGGCAACGCATCTATTGCTTCGTTAGAGTAATACCGTGCCACGTCGTTGGTCAGAAGAATCATAGAGCAGCATTATCCATCAGTACTCCTCCCACCTTACTTTCTCTTCATTTTTCTTTTCAATTCATCAAGACATACAGATAGTAGTAATAGAGACAAATACTCTACGTGAACAAAGTGCGTTTGTCTTACTTTTTTACACTGAACCAGCCCTCCCCCCCCCCCCCCCCCCAATGTACATATGTACACAATAATTTCATACATTACATTATTACATACACTTTCATTCACATACACACCAAAAAAAAAAAAACAAGACAAAAAATCTTTACCAAAGAGTCTACATAACAAGAGGGGCCACTCCTCTCTTTGAGCTAATTTAAAAAAGTGTCCTCAAAATTCGGTGGCGCCCTCTTCGCAAATGCGCACCCTTTGCGAACAGAGTTACTAGTTACCCTACTTGTGTTTAAAAAAATCAAAGTGAAACTAGCAAGTTTTTGAATAAATTTCGGAAGAACGCTTTTTTAAAATGGTTACGCTGACCAAAAACCTTTTCCGGAGGAAGGGGTGATTGTTTTCTTCGTTTCATTTGACTTAATGAAAGGCGAGAGGTCATTAAAATTTTAAAAACCTAAAACTCCGCACTGAACGAACCCGAATTGCTGATGAACAGCAGTCGATCTGCACACACAAGGAGGTGCTATTCCTATTCTTCTTCTGGAAAAACGAAAGAGAGCTTCAAAACAGACTGCAGCGCCATCTGAAGCAAAGAGCGGACTTCAGGCAGACACTTTTTAGGCTGAGTGGACCATCTTGTTATGTACTATCTTTGACTTTACTAAAGAAATATCACCTCATTCGTCTCATTACGCTGTGAAATCATGCGCTCGTCAATTTGAGCGGAGTTATTGCTATCATCTTAAAGCTAGTTCATTTGTTGTGCTTTCGATGAAAAAAATAATACTCATCCATCTTCAATTGAAGTCAAGATGTTTACGATTGGAGGAGAGGGTCACCTGGTTTCAGGGGTAAAATTAGTGAGAAAGTGGCTGCAAAGTTTGGTAACTTCCAATGTTTAAGAATCCTTGGAAACAGCAAATTTACATTTTCTGCGCCTTATGATTTTCAGTAAACTCCATACATAAATGTACTTTTAAATGAGCATAAAAGGATTTTAGCCAAAAAATAAAACACCGATAAAAATTGCCAAACCAGTGAAAAAAAGGCAGATTTGTTCGATTTCATCGTTTTGACGAGTGCCTGATTTCACCATGATGCCTTGCATTTGCTGTGTGTTTGCATTAGCTGTGGTGCTGCGCTCCATTCTGTCAGCCCTTTCCCCACACAGACTGTACACTCCACATCCCTGAAGTCGGGACAAAAGTTTTCCACTTTCTCATGCACCCTTCGCAAACTCCCTCGTCATTTCTGTACACCACGTGGTTGTCCCCGGGGTTTTATGCACCCCGCATAATTTAGCAAAATTTGATCATTTTTGGGCATAATTTCTGATTATTTTCCTATATCATTCTTCGTTAAAATTAACAGAATTGCATAATTTCACATTTTGGGCTGTTTGCATAATTTCAGATTTAAAAAAAAATAAAACCGCGGGGACAGACATAAGTACAAAGAAAGAACAAAACTTGTGACTGAGACAGTTTCTCTTACACTCAAACCATCTGAAGCCACACCTCGCCCGCCACTCGGCAGACCCTACAGGCACACATCGCAATAACCTCTGGAACGGTTCTGGGAAGTGTGACATCCTTTAGCAAGTTTTTCGCTAAAAGTATTTTTTGTTTTAGTAAGGGTTTTACGGCACTTGCAACACAAAAAGGTCATATAAGTGCCGAAGATTAGAGGTGTTGCAAGAGGGTATCAAATATAAAAAAGAAGGAGGAGAGATCAGGATGATAGATGTTCGATAGGAAAGAAGGAGCAAACCACACCAGAGCTAAAAGTTTACATCTGAGGAACCAGTTAAAACACACGAGGAGTCCACGGGGAAAACGGGCACAGTCGCAAACTGGAAATAGTGAGGGTGTCAATTTTAAAAGTTTGTTGATTCATGTTGTTGTTGTTAGCGATCCAGTAGCATCTGAGCGTTAACTCTTCTGCATGATGCCATTCGGTAATACCTGCATGTCTGTTCTAATTGTTGTCTTGACGAGTAGAGGCAATTGTTGATTCATAACTTCAGATTTGTTTGATTGGTGGTTTATAGTTATAATGTTTTGTTGGATGGGAAATCTAAAGACAATAATCAACTAATAGTTGAGCAGGAAATACAGTTACGAGTCAACAAGCGTTCCAAATTGATACCATCACCATGTTCAGTTAGTGGTTACTCCTGTTTTTCCTGTGGACTCCTCATACATCATCCTTGTCCAACTACAACGGCATATGTGCAAGAGCGTCCTCATACATCATCCTTGTCCAACTACAACGGCATATGTGCAAGAGCGTCCTCATACATCATCCTTGTCCAACTACAACGGCATATGTGCAAGAGCGTCCTCATACATCATCCTTGTCCAACTACAACGGCATATGTGCAAGAGCGTCCTCATACATCATCCTTGTCCAACTACAACGGCATATGTGCAAGAGCGTCCTCATACATCATCCTTGTCCAACTACAACCACGCATTTGCAAGAGCATCCATTTTCAGAAAAGTGAAAGAAAAAACCCCCCGTAGTTTTGTTCCTGTTATCTTCCAGAATAGCTCATCATTTTGTACAGGGTGCTTATTTTTACAAGATAAAACAATGAATTTTAATCACAACTGTGAACAACATAATTTAAAACCAAAAAGAGTTTGTGAATCTAATTTGGTGGTTACCCGGTTAGTTTCAGTACTTTTAGTAGAGGTTTTACGGCACTCGCAACTGCATAAGGTCATACCAACGTCAGAAGATTAGAGGTGTTACACGAGAGGAACAAACACAAAAAAAAAGAAGGGGAGATAAGGACGATAGACGGTTCCCCCGTTAGAGTCCCATTAACTGTGTCTATACACTCTGTCTCTAGTGCCAGCACATTCTCAGAACATAAAAGACAATGAAGCTAATTTCAGTCCGTCGACCTTCGGGATTTTGGGTACCCTAAAAAGAAATCTTCGGCCCTGACTGCGACTTTACACTCAGCGCACAAACCTGTGAATCCCCCCCCCGTGTTGGTTAGGCAACAGCTGTTGAGAGAGACACACAGCCCTGCACAAACACACACGACACATACATACACCATCAATGTCTCGACAGCAACACATAACACAGTAACCTTCTGAGATCAATAAATTTGACAGTATCATGAGAAAATGGCGAAACTTTGGGAGTTTCAGTTAAGCCTCTAATATCATAAACATTGACCAAAAGTCCACGAAAAAGCAAAATAATTAATTCCATCCTGATAAAACCGTACATGTAGCATTAATCATTATATCAGTTCATTAAACTTCTGAGAAAAAAATTGAAAGCAACAAAAAAGTAAAATAAATCAGTATCGATTCATTCTCTGAAAATGGAAAAAAAATAAAACCAACAACCTTGCTGGCAGGTACACACTGAGCCCACAGTCACCACTGCTTCATTACACTATCTCTAGGCTTAAACAGGGGAAAGCTGAGGATGCACATCCAAACACAGGCTCAATCTCCTGACAAACAATAACAAGTAGGTTTCTTTCTCACTTTTGTATTAATCATCATCATCATTGCCTTTCTCACCCTGCACCAGGGTATAGGCCACGGACAAACACAGGCCTAGGACAAACACCTTCCACCTTTCTCTATCCTGGGCTAGCCTCTTGATGTTATTCCATGTCTTCCCACTTTTGTATTTTTATCTTGACCCAAACGCTGAAGTAGAAAGAAAGTCGTCCAGCCTCAGAGTCCAGAGCTATACCAACACAATGTACAAAACTAGAGTACAACTCTGACCAGTGTTAGAGTTAAGGACGACATTCACCTTCACATTCACCTGTTCGGTTTTCACAGAATGTGGTGGCACAAATCAGTGCAAGCAGACCTGCCAACTACTCCACGACAAAAAAACAAAAAAATCAGAGTTTTCCTCAAAATCCTTCTAAAAAATAGGACTGAGTTCATCTTTAAAAAATAATCGGAATCTCAGGGTTATGTAATGAACCAACTGTGGCAAATAAACATGTAGCCTACTGCAAGTACACGCAACCCCCCTTGTATTTTCACGTCATTTACAATGTCGCCTAGGGCAAGACGGAAAAGAAATTCAGGGGGGAAAAAAATCTCAGATAAAAGCAAATTTTACCAGGGTTCTCTGATGAGCGGGGGGGGGGGGGGGGGAACAAAAAATAGAGAGGGCTTCGATTTTATCGGAGTACTTGACAGGTCTGGTGTACAACTTGTGGCCAAACCAGCCTCAGCAGTGTGATAACACAGTAATAAACCAGCTTTCTTTGGGTTCTTGGGTACCAAAAAAGAAATGGTTACCCCTGACTGCGACTTTACACTGGGCACACCAACCTGTGAATCTTCCCCAGTATATATATACAGTATATACTATATATACTGGTGCGTAAACCAGCCTCTGCTGTGTGCTAACAAAACACAAGGTTCAAATAAGAAAATTAAAAGCTAAGCAGACTCAACGGTACCTGTACAGATTTGATCACTTTGTATGTAAAGGTTGTCAATATATAGAACTACAGACAATATATCCAGCCAACGCAGCAACCTCCCATCACAGCCACTGTTCCTCTCACTATTGGGACCTCAAGAGCGGTACCAACTATGTAGAAAAGAAATTCAACTTTTAAACATTCGGATAAAAAAAAAATAATTCAGAAGATACGATTAGAAAATTTGTTCCAATCCTCAGATCTTCTAGCCCGCTTCTGTTGAACGTTGAAAGGTCATGAAAATGGTTCGCAGACTTGCACCCTTAAGAACAGCCCATACCAGCCTTCAGAAAAGTCGATACCAGCCTTTAGAATAGAAATGCAACCAGCTTTCAAATGTAGAGAATACTGTATCTCTCAAACGTAGAGTACAACCTGTCTCTCTCGTGTGTCTTTTAGATACGGAGCATTTCGTGTCTTTCACATGTAGAGTGCGTCATGTCTCCGATGTAGAATGTGGCTCGTCTCAGATGAATGTATCGTGTCTTCAGATGTAGAATGTAGTGTGTCTTCAGATGTAGAATGTAGTGTGTCTCAGATGTAGAATGTAGTGCGTCTCAGATGTAGAATGTAGTGTGTCTTCAGATGTAGAATGTATCGTGCTTCAAATGTAGAATGTGGCTTGTCTCAGATGAAGGGTGCATTGTGTCTCAGATGTAGAATGTAGTGTGTCTCAGATGTAGAATGTGTCTCAGATGCAGAATGTGTCATTTCTCAGATATAGAATGTGTCTCAGATGTAGAATGTGTCGTGTGTCTCAGATGTAGAGCGTGGCGTGTCTCTCCATGCTACCGTCCCCTATGTCCAGCTCCATGGTTTCCTCGTGCATGTGCACCGGTGACAGCATGGCGGTTGCCATGGCGATGTCGGGCATCACGTCACTCAGAGCGCTGGAGCTGCAGGGCTCGTGCTGAAGAAGAGAGCGGAGACGAGTTAGCTCGTGAGCCAGCAAAAATAACATCCACATTTGGCAGATAATAGACGAGCATAGAGTTTGCTGTTGAGCGGGAATTTGCGCTACACAAATGCTATCTATTATTATTTTTATAGGAAAATAGCAGTAGTGAAAAAAAGTGGAAGGAATCATCATACCACATACTAGCGATGAGTATTCTCGCGTCCAGCCTCGTTCACTTTTTATAGAAAGAATTACTCTATCTAGTCCATACCAAGTTATCTGAACTAATCGTGATGCATTATGGGAAAGGTCAAGGAGACATTTTTTCTGTTGAAACAGCCAGTGAGCCCGCTAGTTTTGATTTTTAATTTTAATAAGAGTTTTACGGCACTTGCAACACATTAAGGTCATATAAGTGCCGAAGATTAAAGGTGTTACAAGAGAGTAAGAAACACAAAAAAAGAAGGAGGGGAGATAGAGACGATAGATTTTTTATAGGAAAGAAGGAGCACACCACACCAGAGCACCTGCCAACCACCCACTAGTTTTGATTGATATTCCTGGGTAGACCTAATTTCATCTTGCCATAACAAAATTGCCCAGTATGTGAGGGGAGTTCACTGCTGGAGCGCTCAGCACTGAATGAGTTTAAGTGAAAGAAAAAAAAAAAGGAGTCTGCACAAACCTCTGCCGCGCTGTAGGACAACCGCGGCCGGAGATTTCTGTCGGGGCTGTCCTGGAAGCGGAGTTGAAGGTGCTGCGGTGGGGGGTACTGCTGCTGCTGTTGCTGCTGCTGCTGCTGCTGTTGTTGCTGCAGCTGCGGCTGTCGACAGGCCGGGTGGTGGAAGTGCCTCCGGCGGTGGCTGCCGCTGGTGTAGTAATACTGGCTGTTCTGCAGCACCTCCACCGCGCTGTCGGGCAGCCCAAACTCTCGCACCACCCGCAGCTGGAGGCTGAGCGAGGCGTTGATGGCCAGCGAGCGCTTGTCGCAGCAGGGGAGCGAGCCCACCTTCTGGGCCACCTTGCCCTGCATCAGCTCCTGCTCTCGCTCCAGCATCTTGACAAACGTGGTCCTGTCGGGCACTGTCGACAGACACAGACACACACACACATTCACACATGGCATTTCCCACACTGAGATTCAACAATAATAATAAATTGCATTTATATAGCGAATTTACACGGAGAAGTGCTCAATGCGCTGTACAGATGTGATGCACAGTCCAGTCAAGCGCGTACATTGCCAACGGATTTTCAGGTCAAAACTTTTTTTTCCCTTATATACACATATTTTCTTTGTACCTAAAAAAGCATGTCCAAAGTGAAATTTGCATATCATGAAAAGATTCCGCATCCCACAGACTTCGCTATGTGCGTGCTAGACAGTATTATCTTTACCAAAACTATCAAGACACAGTTGAGATATATCATTCTTTTTGTTCTTCAGAGAAAGCCAGTGTTCAGACACTAAGCATTTTCTCCAACACAGCTGAGACACACTCAGCATTTTATTAGTACGGAACTTTTACGGACAAATTATTTTTATACTTAGGCATTGATGAGACACATGGAATTTACTTTGAAAGACAAATGTTTTCTTAAATGAGAACATAAAAAAAAACCCCACCAATAAACAAAATTTATAACAATACATAACGTAACAAACAATTACAGTGTAAATAAATTTATTCTAAAATTCTTGAAAAGGCTAACCCTAAATGAATAAATTCACCCAAAATGAAAACATAAAATACATGGCAGACAAATAAAGCATTAAAATGGTAAATGAGAAAAACATTGCAGACATAGGCGGCAGAGTAATTTATAAAAGCGCTTGAACACTTCGCCTACAAAAAAAAATTCCCTTCAACCCCTTCTCCTCGCTCAGAGATGGGATCTACTTGTGACAGGTGTCATCTGGTGTGCCCGCACTAGTTAGTGACGCAAAACGCACAGGGGAATCTCAGTGTGTTCTCCCTTGTCTTTGAGTTATCAACACTTTCAACGTACTATCTCTTCATGTAGGCATATCGTTCATTTCACTTCCTTTTGTTATAAATAAAATGTTATCAAGTAGGACACGCCGGAATGACTGATGTTTGTTTCGACTGGTGTGTTCTCCCATGTCTTTGAGTTATCAACATTTTCAACGTACTATCTCTCCATGTAGGCATATTGTTCATTTCACTTCCTTTTGCTATAAATATAAAACGTCAAGTAGGACACACCGGAATGACTGAAGTTTGTTTTGAGCCTCACCAGGTATAGTTCCGGCGATGATGTCGACGGTAGAGACGGGCGATCCTGAGTAGGGCAGGGGCAGCTGTACATCGCGCTCCTCCAACATGTACAGCGTGTCCGGGATGGCAGACATGTGGATGGCTCGCACGCGGCTGTTGGAGTCGTGACCTTGAGACAGCATCTCCTCCAGGGTGTTCTGGGCAGCGAGAAGTACAAAAAAACCCATATAATATGTGTCACAACGCAGTGGAATCAGGCGCTCGTCAATTTTGGGGCATGTGGAGTTATTGGTGTCATCTGAAAGCTGGTTTATTTGCCTTGCTTCAAATGAAATATATATCCATCTATCCTAAAAAGAACTCAAGATATTTGCGATTGAAGGAAGTGAGGTCGCCTGGTTTCAGTGGTGAAATTAGTGAAAAAATTACCGCCAAAGTTTGGTAACTCCAATAGCTAAACAGTCATTGAAAACATTAAAAAGACATATATTTTGCCTCTAATCAATGTTTCTCAGTAAAATTCACATGGAAAGGTGTTTTTATATGGACATAAAAGAGGTTGAACTAAAAAATAAAAAATGATAAAAATGTCAAAACTGGCGAAAAAATGCCTGTTTCTCTGATTTTGAAGAGTGCCTGATTTCACCATGCTGCCTAACATATACAGTTGCTTGTTTGAGTAAAAGTTTGACAGAACTTGCAACACTTGCTGTCAGCTATACCGATGACACGAAATATACGTACATCTAACTGAAACAAAAAGAGTCCTCATTCCTCATCTTTGCCTCCACATGGTATGGAGGGAAGAACTTTTCATTCCTCACCTTGGTCTCCTCATAATGCAGTGTGAAAAAACATTATTTTCCATTTCTCACCTTTTCACCTCATTAATCGTGTGAAGAGGGACTTTTTACTTTCATTCTTCCCCTTTGCTTCCACATATGGTGCGAAAAGGGACTTTTTCTTTTTATTTCTCACCTCTGCCTCGTCATAATACGATGTAAAGAAGGACTTTTCCTTTTTATTTCTCACCTCTGCCTCGTCATAATACGATGTAAAGAAGGACTTTTTCTTTTTATTTCTCACCTCTGCCTCGTCATAACACTGTGTAAAGAAGGACTTCTTCTTTTAATTCCTCATCTCCACCTCCACATATGGTGTGGAGGGGACTTTTTCTTGTCATTCCTCACCTTTTTTTCTTTTCATTCCTCACCTTTGCCTACCCATGTGTAAAGAGGGACTTTTTTTTCTTCTTTTCATTCCTCACCTTTGCCTGCCCATGTGTAAAGAGGGAATTTTTCTTTCATTCCTCACCTTTTTTTCTTTTCATTCCTCACCTTTGCCAACCCATGTGTAAAGAGGGACTTTTTTTTCTTCTTTTCATTCCTCACCTTTGCCTGCCCATGTGTAAAGAGGGACTTTTTCTTTTCATTCCTCACCTTTGCTTCCTCATAGTACGGAGTGAAGAGCCTGGGCTTGAGGAACACCCCGCGGTCAGTGAGACCGGTCCAGGCGCCGATTCTGTGCATCACGGCGTCCTCGTGGCTGAGGCTGGAGGTGGGCGACTCCACCAGGCCCCGCTTGACGGCCGTGGCCAGGAGCTCGCTGTTGGTGGGCAGCACGTGCTCCACGCGCACCATGGCCAGCACCTCCAACAGCAGCTGCCGCAGCTCTGCGTCGTTCAGGTCGCGCTTCTTCACCCCTTTCTTGGCCACGCTGTGAGCCGTGTGCGACAGCAGGTTCGGTTCTGGGGCAAACAAGAAAAACAACGGTTCGGTTCTGGGGCAAACAAGAAAAACAACGGTTCGGTTCTGAGGCGAACAGAAAAACAACGTTCTCTAGCATGAATTATGAATTCTCGGTCAGGTAAAAATATAGGATACTGGAATAAATCCCTAATCAAAACTTGTTTTAGTTTTAGTAAGTGTTTTACGGCACTTGCAACACAATAAGGTCACATAAGTGCCGAAGCTAAGAGGTGTTACAAGAGAGTAACGAACACAAAATAGAAGGAGGGGAGATAAGGACGATAGACGTTTGATAAGAAAGAAGGAGCAAACCACACCAGAGCACCCGCCAACCACCAGCTCGGAACGCCTAACAAATATTATACCTGAAAACAATGCACTACTGTAACTCATTTTCAGAGTTATCAATCTCTAGTAGACTAGTCCAATTTCTCATTAATTAAAAAATCTAAAGTCGCGCTTCTTCACCCCTTTCTTGGCCATGCTGTGAGCCCTGTGCGACAGCAGGTTGGGCTCTGGGGCAGCAAATAGAAAAAAAACAATATTCTCACGCACGAATTATGAATTCTGGGTCAGGCAAAAATATAGGACACTGGGATAAATCCCTCATCAAAACTTGGAAAGCCAAACAAATATTAGACCTGAGAACACTGCATTACTGTAACTTTCAGAATGATAAATCTGCTGTCACAATTTCTAATCCAAAAAATTTTAAGAATACTTTTTTAAAAATACAAACAACCAAAATAAGACGATGTAAAGACAAAGCGTTCCGAAAAAAAAACACCTTTTTTTTTAAAACCCCCTCCCAGCAACTTACTAAAACAGTGGGATCATCCATGGTGTATTTCATATACATCACATCACAAGCAATTTTTTCTAAATTGCAAAAATTTTGATACATACTATAGAAAAGAAAAATTTCTGTCATCTTGACTGTCATGAGAAAGAAATGCACTGGCCTGCAGCTTTTGATCACAAATGTTTCATGTATCTCAGCATTTGGCTGACAGATGTTTCACAGTAACAGCGGTGTCCGCTTATATCCAACACAGTTAATACAAAAAACGGCAGCAAACCAAAGGAAAATAAAACCCCCCACATTATTTTTCCTTCTATTCGAGCAAACGCTATAAATCAAAAGCCCAGTAAAACCGACAAAACTCTGGCAGTCCTGCAAATTTCGGTTTAACTCTTTTCCTTCCAGGCCAAAATCCACCACTGGCCCAGGGCTTTTCCCTGACCTATATTTACGCCTCTACCCCGCCAAAGGAAAATGTCAAAACATCCAACTAAACACACACAAACCATATCTTATAGCCCATCAAACTAAAGGTTAAAAAATAATCTATCAGATGGCGATACAATATTGGAGATTTATTCCAATTATATTACTTTAGGGTTTCTAAAAGTGATTATGCAATATCGAAGATGTCATATAAATTTCACAATTTTCCAGCTTTGAAAGGTCATATCTAAAAATGTATAACAGCAGCATCATTCAAACTCCCCAGGCACGTTACCGCAAGTAATGCGAATAAATGCTGAAAGTTATGTATGTGTACCTAATATAGAAGTAAAAACATGAGACATATCCTGAAGTCAGGGTAGCGCTTTTTTCCCTCATATTTACGTTTCGAAGGGGACAAAAAAAAGCGCTGAAATGACTAAAAATCGTCTCTCAGTGCTATATTTTCTTTTGTATCTGCTAACAGGAAGTCTATTCTATTATTGCGAAAGCGTGGATCGGCCAAGAACTTCGTGTCTTTTCATTACTGGATTGGAATAGATAGCAAGCCACTCGAGCCGTATTTTGCGGCTCTCGGTGAAGCCAGGTCCACGAGCCGCAAAATGCAGCACGTGGTAGGGAAAGTGTTAAGCGAACTCCATTCTAAAATTCTATAGCAATTCCCCACAGCTTATTTTTTGTTTCCGTGTCCTGATATTTGTAGGTTACGTAAAAATGGGCTGACAGGCTGTAAATTGTTATGCTTCACGAAAAATAAGTAAAAGAAAAAGGTGAATGGTTTCGTCTGTGATGATTTCCCCACAGCCGTTTCTTCTTCAGCGGTCTCCGCTGCCAGTCTGACCCACACAGCCAGAGCAGTCACAAACCTCTCTCCTCAATGCGCTTGATCAGCTGGTGTTCTCCCCATCGTATCACACAGGCCAAAACGTCTTGCTCGCCGCACTGGAAAAACCACACACACATTATTTATTACACACAAGACTAGAAGCATCCCTCCTCACCACACTACCAAATTGTACAAACCAAAATTACAGAAACGCCTTTCAATCTTAGTGTGTAAAAACAAAATTGAAGAAACACCTCTAGATTTTAGTGTAAGGAAGGCTATTTCCTATCTATAAATAGACAATTTTGTCACCATGTTTTCAGCCTCACAAACTTCCCCATGACTCCACTCTTATTAAACCTACTCGTATCTCTCATTTGTGTGTGATTATTCAAATGTGCCACAATGTAATCTTTAGTCTGCTGTTGGACACGTGCTTCCACTGTCACTGCACATCGATTGCTGTCCTTCACGACAGATCAAGCATTGTTCTAGCTTGCGATGGGGCAGCAAACTTGACAAGCAGATCATATACTTGTTTACCTAGAAATTCACCTCTCATTCAACAGAAGTACCACTTGGGGTGGGGAAAATGCCACATTTTGTCATTTACAAAAAAACCCAACAACAACAAAGAACAGTTACTACTTCAGGTGGGAAAAATGCCATATTATATTCTTTCATAAGAAAAAAACAAAACAGAGAGAACAGTTACAACTTCAGGTGGGAAGAATGCCATATCCTTTCCTTAGAAAAACAAAAACAAACAAAAAACAAACCCTGAAAATGTGACAAGTCAGCCACAACTCTGCCAATCTCCAGTACAAGAGACGACACCAATACAAATGCACTCACCTGAAGGAAATCCGACGTTAAGGCTTCTTTTAAGTAGTCTTTGCTCAGATCCAGCAACATGGGTGAATGAGAAATCTGAGAAATACAACAAAACTTTCATTCCACACTGTCGTGCCTGAGGGACAATGTCTTTTGCATCAATGTGTTGACCTCCACTACAGCCAATGTCCAGCATTTACCAGGGTTCATACTGAGCAGGAGATATTTTTCCCAAGACTTTTCAAGACCAGATTTCTTTTATTCCAAGACAAATAACGTGTTATTTCGGAAGAACATTTGTTCTTGTCTGGTGTGGTATTTTTAAAATTTAAAATGCCTAAAGTCCAGGCCTTCTAAACTTCGAGGAAATATTTTTACAATTGATCTAGTCAAAAATTTGTTTTTCCAAGACTTTTGCCAATTTCCTAAAATTCCAAGAGTTTTCCATGTCTTGGAAAATAAAAAAACAAGACCAGCACGAAACCTGATTTACAGTACCATCCAGACCGACAAGTCATGCTAGCAAGACATTATTTACCTGTCCATCTTAAGGCTCGAAAAAAAAAAAAATCAACTATCAACAAGCCCACACTAATGTAGTTCAAAGAACTAAAAAATTCACAAACTAAACATATTCAAGCTGTGAGATGACTGTGTAGGAATGTGTACCTTGCACTTTCTGAAAAAGAAGAGGATTCTTTTTTCTCTTATATACTTTTTTTCGCCTTTACCCCCACTTCTTTGCTTTTTTAAAGAAAATAACCATTTTACATCAAGCAAAATAAAACACGTATTATGGCAGAACATCATAAGCATCCGTGATAATAAATGTGGCTTGCCGCTACAACCGTGATGGATTTCGGCCATAAAACACATGTATGTAGACTGTGACACATTTCACACAGAAAAAATATGACAGTGGACTACACAAAACCACGCATGATTTATTCTTGGTTTAGATTTAGTAAGAGTCTCACGGCACTTGCAGCACAATAAGGTCATATAAGTGCCGAAGATTAGAGGTGTTTCAAGAAAGCTAACAAACACAAAAAAGGAGGGGGGGGGGGAGATAGAGACAACAAGATTTTTTTACAGGAAAGAAGGAGCAAACCACACCAGATCACCCGCCAAACACCCACCCACTCATGATTTCATTGCAATACTTTACCTGAAGGAACTCATCGGTGAGGTACGCCTTGGCCTGGCGGTGAACCCACTTGGACCCATGTGGTTCTGCACTCCACGTTAGCACATTAATCAGGCATTCTGGTGTTAAGTTGTCTATAATAATATCTTCACAACCTGGAAATGAGTTGAAAAACCACAAAATGCTTTATTCAAGATTGTTCCAAAAATGAAAAGGATAGAAGAGCCTATTCGATTAAAATATGAACTTTAATAAGGACATCAGTTTCAGTCAGAAAGATGACACTTTCTTTTTCAGTCAGTTGAATACTGGAATGACAGTGGTCATTAAGAAAACAGTAAAAGGAACAAAATAAACAATATACCTCATCCAGCGAAACAAATGGACACTAGTTTAACAAACCAAAGATTTGAAAACTTAATTTAAAAAATCGTATGATTTTAATACGGAAACTTCTTCATGGATCATTGACTAACCTTCAAGAACAAGGTTGTACTGTCAACTGCAGAATTGTAATTCAAAACTCAAAAGAAAACTCATCCTCATATTTTCCGTTTTAGTAATTTTTCCACATTTCCAACACAAAAAGGTCTTAAAAGTGCCAAAGATTAAGGTATTACTAGAGAGTAATATACGAAAAAAAAGAGAAAGAGGAGAGATGTAAAGAACAACAGGTGTTTGAATAACGAAGAAGGAGCCAACCATACCACAGCACCCGTCAACCACCCATGAAACTCATCTGACAAAATGGCATGTCCAAGAACATTTTATAAATTTATGCAAAATGGAAGGTCTGTAGTCTGTGGAAGGTCTGTAGTCTGTGAAACAAGGAACTGAGACCACAAAACATAAGATAAAATGGCGCGAGTTGTCGATACATACCCTGAGCAATGACTTGTGAATCCAGAAACTGGCCAATCTGGTAGAGCTCCATGGCCTCGTCCACCACGGTCATCTGACAACGGCCCGTGGAGACCATGGCCTGGATCTCGCTGAGGCTGCACATGCTGGGGCTGCCCCGGAGCACACAGCTCATGTCCACCGTGTCCTGGTACAGCGCAGTCAGCAGAACCCGGGCGTAGCGGCGGGGGATCACCGATTCGTCCAGGACGATCCTGGATGGCGTGCGCAGGGCCCGCTCCGTCAGCTCCTCCCCAGACTTTGCCCGGCGGTTTATCAAGTTTCTAAAAAACGGCGATCGGGAGGCGATGATGGCCTTGTGGCACGGGAACTCAAATCTAGATGTCCTTTGGGGCCCGTGCATGCTCTGAGTCATGGCCTGTCCGTCAAAGCCTCCCTGAGGGATGGGGTCGCAGTGGTCAGAGTCAGAGGCAAACACCATAACGGCATCGATGAGTTCCGTGCTGTCCAGTAGCAGCTTCATGTCGTGTTCAAGAACGTTGGGAACCCCAAACTCCCCGGCCAGCCTGCCCAGCAACTCATTGTTTTCTAACGTGACATCATCACCCCCCAGTTCGTCTGTATACAGGTACCGCAACAGAGCAGAAAAAAGGCCCACATCCACCCCAGGGGTCTTCAGTCTCACGGGGACCTGGGCCCCAAACTCCGGGTAGCGAGACAATAGCCCTTTGAAGAAAGGGCTCCGGGCTGAAAGAATGGCTCGGTGAGCAGGGAAACAGTTGTTCTTGAAGATTAAATCAACATCTGTACAGAATTTACAGTCGTACAACCGGGACAGGTCATACCGAAGAGAGTGAGCTGAGGGTCTGGCAAGGCTTGCCGCTAGGGCCAGTTCCTTCAGAGCAGCGGTGGCTTCATACTCCTGCACCAGCGAGGTCACGTCTTGAACAGACCACGAGGACAACAGCTCCCGGATCACTTTGCCGTGGTCCAGAGATCTGCTATGACGGCGAACACGTATGAGTTTCTTACGAAGCGTTGCGAACTTTGAGCTTTTCTTCTTTTTCTCCTTGGCTCCGTTTTCACTTGCTTCAGTCACAGGATATGCGTGAGAAGCACGAGACAATGCGGAACGGGACGAGGGCTGGAGCCTATCCGGTATGGATGCATGGGCTCCCATGTCTCACTAGTCACTTCCTCCTCCGGCCCTTAGTGTGCTCTCACATTCATCACTGGAGTTCAAAAAGGGAGAAAATTCAATTTACTTATTTCTAAATAATATCAAACAGCTGGGAAGTCAGTAAGATTTAAAGGAAATAAATATTCATTACAATTTTCCCATTGCCTCCTTTATCGAGAATCTAATTACTGACACAATACCAATCCTAAGGTACAAGAAAAGCTCAGAAATGACTACCATGGAACAAAAGTGGTGTAAAAAAAAGATTCTTGAACTATTATTCAATCAATATGTGTTTATGTACTTTACGCCCACATAGACACAATATATATATATATATATATATATATATATATCATTTAGGAGGCGGGCTTTAACCCTGCCTGCCAGGGCCAACCCATGATGAGGGATACAACATCCCAGCAGAAAGACAAAAGAGAAACTCAGAAAAAAAAACCCCACTACATCACTGACATCAGTTCCGAGATTAAAAATGCACAAGACTAAGTAAGAATTCACGTCACATTTTAAATGACAAGAAGCAATCAATCCTACACAGTGATATCAGAGCAGGTTATGGCGAAAGGCCTTGAAAAGTCAGAAAAGCCTAGAAAATTCTCAAAACTCTCAAGCAACCTACATCTATTTTCAGACGTCATACATAATGAACCCAATCTCCAACCATCAAAAACAAAACAAATAGAGTGCAGAAAAAGATCGTCAGGTGTGATGGGACTTTTAAAAAAACCAAATCCTACGACCGAAAGCAACAGATAGCACACAAAGGTACCGTGAGAGTTGATTTAGTAACTTTGTACCACAGTTGATGGTTGGTTGGTTCAGACGGAGAGTCGGAAAATCATGCTGCCATTCGGCGGGTTTCGGTCTCGCTACCGACCAATCCTCTTTCTTCGATAATATCTCGGCTGTCGATAAAGTTATCGGAATACTTTTTTCTTCCGTGAATTTCGCGTGTATAGATGTATGATACATGGAGCTGATGCAAAGAACAATGCTATAAATAATCGTGTTTCCGGGGTTACCACTGGCTCAGGCGACTCTACCACGTTTTCGAACTGCCGCACGGGGTGTGTGGTATTGCAACTTATACTGAGCATCTAGGCTACGGTACATGATCCCTTCTGAAGTGGGTCAGGTAACGCCTCTCTCCGCATCATCCCTCTCTCTGCCGCCTGCCTCACTTCACTCATCACTGGAATTACCCAGCCACAATGCCGCACCGCTGACTGCCTGTTTGGATCCCGCCTACACCCCCCCACCCCCACAGCTAAAGCTCGCTTCATCTCTCCCGCTGTATCCAAGTCCGGGCCTTTCCTTGCCCCGTTACACTTGAGCACAGGTAATTGAGTTTACACAGAGAGAAAAAAAAGGGGGATTCCGGTAAGGTCCCACTGCAGCGGGTGCCGCTATAGTCCTGTTCTACTGTAGTAGGGGGTTAGGGTTCGGGTTAGAATCTGGGACAGGGAAATTAGTCATTATATAGATAGTAATTGTAAGGGCGAAATCCTGTCTATTCCCTGCCATAGTCATTAACTATAAGCCTAAAATTGGGAAGGACTTCCAAAGAGAGACCATCCCAACAAATACAATAAAGAAGAGACCTAACCCTACACCCGAGGCTGGCGTCGTTATTCTCATCCCTATTTTATTCTCACCCGGTGTGAGAATACAACTGTGGGACTCGTATCGCATTGTATGAATTGCAGTGTTGCTCTTTCATTTTCAACCAAAATTACCGCAAAATGACCGATTTAGAGGACGATTTTGCTGAAGCCAGTCGAGCTCTTGTTTTCTCGCAGTACCTTTTAAACGCATTTACAAATGAAGTATAGTCCGGGGACGTTGCCCCAACCACAACTGAAGTGTAGTATCTGAATATTCAGACATTTACAAATCTCTAGCACAGCTCTAGAAATTGACTTCGATACAAAAAACGAAGTGACTATTTCTCCGAACGCTCTGGAAAATAAATTTGATCTCTATTTCTCGGAGCAGTCTCCGTTCTCGAGATTTTTGGGCTATTTGTGAGATTTAGGCGTCATCTTTCATTTTATGCCATTCTGCGAGGACTAAAGCCTAAAGCAAAAACTAAAATCCTTTCATGTAAACCCCAAAAAAATGAAATCACTTCACCCCCCCCCCCCCCCCCCCCCCCCGTTCGCACCTTACACAAACACATACACACACTCCATTCGCAAATTATCAACAAATCTCATGAACAGAAACCGTTTGGAGAAATAAAATTCAAGTTTATTTTCCCGAGCGTTCGGAGAAATAGAGCCGGTCTACAAAAAATGGTTGTTCTCCCAGTCCTTGCAGAATAGCATTATAATGAAAGATGACGCCTAAATCTCACTCTAATAACCAAAAAGTTTAGAGAATGGAAACCATTCGGAGAAATAGAGATCCAAGTTTTTTTCCCGAGCGTTCGGACAAATAGTCACTTCATATTTCTAAGGCTCCTTTTATTTTCGGTGCGGGAGGACTTCCGTAACGAGCGACCACTATGAGACACTGAGACACAGTAGAACAGAGGGGTTAGGGGTAGGGTAGGGGTTAGGGTAAGGAGGTAAAGGTCTGTGGTCAGGTAAGGGCTAGGGGTAGGGTTGGGTCTCTTCTTTTTCGTGTTTGTTGGGGTGGTCCATAGTTACGGAAGTCCTTCCTTCGGTGTTTTTTCGGTAGTTCCCACCCCTTTTTTTGAGCCTAGATCTACATATCTAGATCTAGATCTCTCTATACATTTGATGCGCAGCGAGGTAAGTATATATATCAAACCTAACAACTGCAAAACTTTAAATTATGGTAAAATTCAGGACCCCCCTCCATATATTTATTAGATTCTATGTCAGGGGGGCAAGATTGGGGCCAAGTCCGGCGAATAGCAATCGCGGGGTGGGAACTACCGAAAAAGCGCCCTATTTTCTGTATGGGAATGTTTCAATTTAGTTTTACCCTAGACTCTAAACCTCCTAAAGTAAAGTAGGCTAAGCGCTGCGTTTCATCTAACTCCCAAAGCAAGAGTAGTTCTAGATCTAAATCTAGATCTAGTGCGTACGGAGGTAGGATCAGATTCTAGATCTAGATCTAGATCTAGATCTAGGTTTTAAAAAGACAGACTGTACGTAGACAGTTGAACTCAAACTGAAGTTGAAGTCCTCCTGAGTCTTCCTCGAAGAGGTTTGAGGTAGGCTGGCGGCTGGCGGCTGGAGTTAGAAAGTGGAATTTGAAGCTACAGAGGGAAGATTGAAGAATACCGGACCACTCGCACATTATTGCACGAGAAAGTGGGGTAGGTGGGGCGGGTGGTTGGGGTGGAGGAGGGGCCCTGACAAAATTTTAATGAATAGATCTACCAGTCCGAGATTCTCCATTGAGAGATATAATTAAAAACGGGAAAATTATGAATTCCTAAGGTTGAGACGAGACATAGATTTCTAGGCAAAGTCAGTCGGCTGGTCCGGTATTCTTCATCTTACCGCTACAGATTATAGGGTAATTTCACAAATAAAAAACTAAAGAGAGAATGTTAAGAGATTTAAGCTTTGGGAGGTTGGTGTTTGAAGAATGAAGTGTGCTATGGAGTAGATCTATGGCATGGAGATATTCTTAACTTTCTCAATCTCTCGGAATCAGAATTGTCCGCTGTCCCCGTTGAAAACACTAAACTTTATGTCAAAGATGGACAGTACACAGAGCCAGCTTTTGGGAAATGAGACAAATACTCCTTTCTTTTGAATGTCATCTTATACTCCTTAAGTATATTCCATCTAAAATAACGCGTCTGTGTTGATATCAGAGTTTAAAACAACATCTTTCTTGTTTCAGTACCTCGGGGTGAAGACAACAACAGTCAACAGGACGCCATGTTGGTTGATCGTAACCTGAACATGCCAGGATTTAAAAGGGCAAAAGGAGGGCACATTTGAAATTTTTACCAGGAAAGTACAATGCACTTATACAAGACTTGTCTTGTATGTTTAAAAGGGAGGGGGGGGGGGCAAAAACGAAATGAAAGTGGATAGGAAGGAAGAACCGAGCAGATCTGTTTTTATGAAGCTGAAGTTAATTGAAAATAAGATGTCATTTGATCGAATAATAAAAGCATATACATTGTGTATCCATGCAATCTAATTTTGTTTTAAGTCATAATTTAGCGAGTAAGTGAGGAAAAACGATAATAAAAGATGAAACTGGAGGAAAAGCAATCCTGACAGTGACGGTTGAAGAGACAGAAAAGGAAGGGGTGAACCTTAGTGTGAAGTTGAGGGAGAAATATTATTCTAAGTCAAGAATGGCAACACTATCAGTACCGAGCAAATAATGTAACCCATTAAAGTTTACCTTATTTTAGCATTTTATCCTGCATAACATAGACTGGGGTGGGGGTGGGGTGCCAGAAAAGAGGTAATAGATTAGATAGACGCAAGGACCTTACAAAAACCTCTTTGGAAAGACTCGAGCTCACAAACTTGGCCACGCTTCATAGGGTTAATAACATTTATCCAACTTGGCATATCCAGTTGCAGGGGGAACAACTTGAGATATTTTTTTTCTTCGCCTCAGTGATAGAACTTGGTAGGCCTATTCTTAGAAATTTTAACATTCTGTGGTTGGAAAAATTAAAAGAAAGCAAAAGAGGCAGAGGTAGCCTGGTTTAAGAATAATTTACAAAGAGAGCTTGAACAGACGGGTGGCGGGAAAGATCACGTTAATATGGGACTGTTTTTTTGTTGTTGTGTTTTTTTAGAGTATCGAAGCAAAGAAATTGTTGTCGAACTAATAGATGATTATGATAATATTTAGGCCTAAAAATATAGCCAATAATATAATATTAAAAATATACAGTAGGCATATATATTATATAGATATATCTATATAATATATATACCGGTACTTACTCTTTCGCTCTCCCTATACCGTTAGGTACATAAGGTGGAGAGCAGTCGACGCCACACTTGTCTAGCTGTCCCTGGCCACGTCCTCCAATTTCGGCAAACCCAGACCCTGGGTGATTGCCTCACACCTTATTGAGCCTCTATAGCTTCCTGTTGGTCTCCTTCGTTTTCTTTTTCCATTTGGTTTCCATTACCATGTCTGATAGGGCAATTTGTCTTAGATATTCTTAGAACATATCCTATCCTAGACATCCCCATCTTCTCCTTTTTATGGCTTTGTTGATATCTTCAATTCCCAGCTCCTTTCAATACTACATTATTTGTAACAAATTCATTCCATTTTATTAGTAAAATTCTTTGCAACATTTCGTTTGGAAGCTTTTTAATTTTAGTCGAATTATTTTGTTTGTTTCCGTCTATAGATTGGTTGTTAGATAGATAGATAGATAGATAGATAGATAGATAGATAGATAGATAGATAGATAGGAACATGGTCAAAGTCAGAATATACAATAAAAGATCCCCGCGTGCTGGAACTGCGAAAACCTTGCAGACATCAGGGGCGGAGACGCTGTTGGGTTTCTGTTCAAGACATTAATTAACAAAAAAGATCTCAGACTTAACTCTTGCAAATCGAAGGCTTTCCCCAGCTTTGCTGCAACAAGTTTTGTTTGAAAGACATGTATATAGGGTATAGGGGTGCCCATTAAAGATGGGATGGGAGCTATCGTGGTCTAGAGGTTAATGGGTGTTCGCCTCTCATTCAAAGGTCCCGGGTTCGAATCCGGGTAGCGACGGAAAAAACATTTCTTCTCTAAAATTGTCTCCTTTCACCTCCTGTCCTGCTCTCTAGCAATATTCAGTCACACCCCCGATCTTCTGGTAGGAAAGATCTACACGTACATAGCCTTCTCGGACAAGGGTGGAAAATCTCGGAGGTCCCGTGGGCAAGTTGCGCACGTTAAAGATCCCTTGGTGGTCCAAAATCGATTAGAGTAGGCTTCGGCGCCCCCCGGACAAAATTCAAGATTTCCTACCAACTGAAAATGCTATTTCCTCCTTCTCCTCCTCCCTTCTCTTCGTTCATATCATTCTCGTCCTCCTCCTCCCCCTCCTCCCCCCTCCTCCTCCTCCTCCTCCTCCTCCTCCTCCTCCTCCTCCTCCTCCTCCTCCTCCTCCTCCTCATCATCATCATCATCATCATCATCATCATCATCATCATATCATCATATCATCATATCATCATCATCATCATCATCATCATCATCATCATCATCATCATCATCATCATCATCATCATCATCATCATCATCATCATCAGCATCATCATTGTAAACAGAGAATTAAAAAAGGTTGAGACTTGGTAGATTTAGGATTTCCAATTTTTAACAAAATATAAATGCGCTCAACCTTTCGTCTTTTGGCTTCATCGGGAACATTTGGGGGGAAAAAATCATCATTATCATCATGATTATCACCATCATCACTGTCACTGCTGTTCCCTCCACCGACATCAGGCGAACACCTCCAGACGAAACGTTAATTTTGTACTCATTAAAACACAGCACACCTGCAATAGAATTTAAATGAACATACCGTAAAATACAGGCCTACATTAATTCCGAGAACAGTTTCAGGAAACATGCATGCATTACGTTTTTTTTAGTTTGTGTGTTGTGTGTGTGTGTGTGTGTGTGTGTGTGTGTGTGTGTGTGTGTGCGCGCGCGCGCGCGCGCGCGTGTGTGCTTTATTTTGTTTTATTTGGTTTTGTTTTGTTTTGCTAGCATTGCATAGGCTATAATTATATTATTTGTGCGTCTGTTTTAATTCAGAGATGGATATAAAATAATTCAGAGATGGATACAAAATAATTCAGAGATGGATACAAAATAGGTTACGGAAATGCATATTTATTGTACATGCTCGATAAGGATTCGACAACAGTATGTATACCAACAGGTTGAAGTGAACGTGCAACCTACGTGATACTACATCAAGAGTACTGTGTGTCTACAGTGTATACTATGAAGACCTTAATGGGAACAAAAATTATGTGTCACATTTTTAGGTAAACCTCTGACACAAATCAAATTCTTAGTTCAATTGATCGTTTTATCATGTTCCCTCTTTTAAAAGGGGTCTCATTACTCAAGACGGAGCCTATCTTAATTAAGTTCAACATTTTAAGAGCAAACTGTGAAGCAAAATGCACAAGTTCAAAGCAATTATAGTCCCGTTGATCTAATTATTTCAAAGCTGTAACCTTGATTGTTTTCCTGTGTAGCCTTAAACTAAAATAGGCCATAGGCCTAGCGAAATAATCCCCCTCCAAGCCAGGTGCAGCTGGGCTTTGACTTTGATGTTATCTTTGTGCCTATCAACTTCTTTTCTTTCCAGTTTGTTTTCTTGAAAGATGATATTCTGCTATGTAGGTGGTTGGTGGACGCCCCGGTGTGGCTTTCTCCTTCTTTTCTATCAAACATCTGTTGCCCTTATCACTCCCAGTGTCTTTAGACCATTCCCAAGGGGGGATATTAACTTGTTCTTATGCACAGTAGAATTGTAAATGGGCTGATTTATCAATGCCATGCTCATACTGTGCCGGAACGACATATGGGGAACTGGTGCTTTTTCTTTCATCCTCTTTACTATCGTCATCTTTCCTCTTCTTCTTTTGTATATTTGCCACTCTCTTGTGAACTGCTATTTCCGGGCTGCCTTGATAGTCAAAACAGACTTAGTGCTGTTATGGCTAGAGAGGTGAGCAAAGTAAGCCTGATTCCCCATTTGGACTTCTCTGTTGACATCAACCCGTTGGCGCTCTTATGGCCTCATGCAGTTGCGAGCGTGTAAAACCTTCATCATCCAGTGCCAGATCTGCGACAGACATCGGCGATCATGGATCTCCATTCCTTCCTTTACTCGGATGCTCTTCTCTCGTTACCCGTAAAACCTTATTAAAACTAAAACTTGTTCCTCCTCTTTCTTTTTGTACGTTACTCTCAAGTGAATCTTCGGCACTTTAATGACCTGTTTGAGTCGCAAGTGCCGTAAAAAGCTGTTAAGACAGATCTATTAGGGACACAAACAGACCCTTTCGTATACAGAGCTTTAGATACAGAGGTGAGAGTTGGGAGGTTAAAGGAAGCTGGAGAGAAGGAAGGAACTGAAGATGAGGGTTTTCCACCGTAAATAACGATATTCACACTAAGACTTGGAGAACCTGAACATTGACGTTCATCGGCGGTTTGGGTGGTGTTTTTCGCTTTATAATGGGGCTTATCTCTCGATGATTATGCAAAGGGGACTTGACCCCCCCCCCCCCCACCCTCTAAAATACAAAACAATAACATCAAGCAAACAAACAAA